TGATTAGTGGAATCTTGCTTTTATGTGAGAAAATGGCTTTCAGCTGTCACTCATCTTTTGTATGTATTCTTCTCTTGAATGAGCATCTTTCATGTTCCAAACAGTGTTACTAAAATCCAGGCAGTCCAGAGAAAATACAAAGACTTACTTTTTTGGGGGCAATTAAGCTGAAAATACTCTTCACCTTCTGTTTAGTTGAATGGGACAGTTATCCTTTTTATTTAATGAGCATGAGTGTAAACATGCATGCTGTAGAAAGTGTAAAGATGGATTCATCTCAGCTGGAAGACGTTCCTTTTATTTTTTAGATGTAATGGAGCATGAACTACATGCAGGCTTATCATGTCTATGCCCATGCAAAATACTGCAGTCAGTACTGATACTGATGCATGTTCAGGCTTGCAGTGTTTGCCCTCCTTAAAGCTTATTTCTGATGGAATTGTGCGTATTCAGGTTCTAATTTGTCTACGTGCTAGCAAGAAATCCCAGATACACAGACTCCGACTCTTTAACAGTCAGCTTTTGGTATCAGTGTTAAAAAAGTCAGTGCAGTGGGTACTGAGCTCCAACTCGTACTGCATGCAGTGCTGCACTGCCTACTGCTAGTGTAGGGGGCTGCGGAATCCAGTTTTCTATTGCAACATTGAACTTCAGAGGCATTTTGTGAGTGTTTGCTGCAAGGGGATTCCAAGAGTAGTACCCTTCTGGTCGCTTCCTTTGTTATGAGCAGGGAAGGTCAGAAATTGCACGCAGGGAGAAGAGCTGGGACCAAAGCATCAAAAGGGTCCCCTTGAGCTGATCTCGGATTTTCATAGTTGGAGTGGATGTCTGTATTCTGTACAAACAGCAGGAAGAGCTGCTAACATGGACCTCCTGAGTAAGCAGAGGTAACTGTTGATGTCTTGCACACATGCATGCTTGGTATTTCTTAAATAATCTTGGCAGCTGGATATTTACTAAACAGAAGAGAAAAGCTAAAATGTTACTGGGAGGGGGCACAGCCAGAATAGTTGATCCAAACTGCCCCAAGGGCTATTCCATACCATATGACGTCATGCTCAGTATATAAACTGGGGGGGTTGGCCGGGGAGCAGCGATCGCTGCTCGGGAACTGGCTGGGTATCGGTTGACGGGTGGTGAGCAATTGCATTGTGCATCACTTGCTTTGTATATTATTATTATTATTATTTTATTGTTACTATTATCATTACTATTGTACTTTATTTCAATTATTAAACTGTTCTTATCTCAACCCAGGAGTGTTTCTCACTCTTACTCCTCCGATTCTCTCCTCCATCCCACCGGGGCAGGGGGAGTGAGCGAGCGGCTGCGTGGTGCTTGGTTGCTGGCTGGGGCTAAACCACGACACTTCTGTAAAATCACAATATTCAGAATTTTAAGATCAAACCCTGTGCTGCCAAGGGGTTGTTAACAGGAGAGGGGGAAAAAATATAAACAGTTATTCTGCAGGAGGAAAGAGAGCATAGTCACTACAGTGGGAATTACCTTTAAATACTGATTTATGCTGTAATTGAACCAAGGACCTTCCCCCCCCAGCATCCTCCTGTATTTTTGCAGGCTGGATACGCCATACAGTTCATGAACGCAAGGACAGATCCTTTCCAGGGCACTACGAAATCTCCAAGAGGAAGGAGGAGGTCTGGCCAGGGGCCACAACCACACGGTCCCTTTCGGCATTATTTAGTGGAGCCTTCAGAGAATACAGCAACATCTGCTGCGATGTACTGTCTCGAGGGCTTTTCCTTTTCTCCTCCCACACCACATCTCTTTCCCATTCTTACACCTCCAAAACCCAATGCCTTTAAAGCAGTCACTGCTTAATTGTTCCCCCTCGGACTTACTGTCTGTAAAATGGGAATAGTGATCCTTACTCATTTATACAAGACACACAAATACGTGCGGGCAAGCTCAAGGAACTAATTTGATAATTGGTGTTTCTTCGAAAACACTGTGAAACCACTGTTAAAATATTTCCTTAGGAACGTATTTAGGCACCTTTTTTTTTTAAGGAGCAAGTTGATGGCCTTGCTTGGAAGGGCAAATGCTGATGTGCAGGTAGAAACATCTTCCTGTTCTTCAGCAAAAATAATCTTTTAGCTGTGAAATCTGAAATCGATTTGAAATCTGCCACACTTGTTGGCATGTATCCAGGTGCCAAATGTCACTTTATTGCAAGCTTTTTCTGAAGACTGAGAAAAATCTTCTGATGTGGCTCTGTAGAAGTAGAAAAGAAGATTAAAAGGATTGGGTGGTACCCAAAATGTTTGAGCTTGTTTTTTAAGTAGACATTTTGAACAGTTCTGTGGTTGATTAAAATGGAGTTTTCTTATTTTTTTTTCCCCCTCCTTTATAAAGTCCTAATTCCTTATCCCCTTCTCAAATTTTGAAATTTAGAGAGGAAAAAAATACGTACATTCGTAAAGTAAATGTGAATTCAAGATGTTGAGTTGTGTATGCTTTTTAATGGTAAATGGATATATATAGAGGAGGATTTCTTGGTGCTTTCTGTTCTGAATTGTTAATATTTCACAAATGCTGCATTTTAAAATGGCAAGCTTTTCTTTTGAAGTTGAAAGTCATGATTAGAATTATTTTCCAGTATTTTATAAAAGTGATGGCAGAATGGCTCAGGGACTAGGTGGAACAATTAAAAACTTTGGGTTTTTAGGATTTTGACTTTGTCACCAGCAGGCTGGGTCTAAGAACAACAGTCAGCACGTCATTCATCTCTTTGAAGCTGTTTTCTGTTCTTCAGGGCTGTGAATACACATCACAAAACCCTCTGGTGTAATGAAGCTCGATGTTTGGTATCAGCAAAGCTGTTGTCTTCACTAAGCCACAGAGTCTCCCGTAGTCCTGTTCCCATCACTAAGCCACTTGCAATCATGGACATTTTAGCTGAAGAGGGTGTGTTGGATCATCCAGTCTGTGGTAATAGAGAATTCTCCCTTCAGGAGATGTAAGCCAGGAAAATCTTATGCTAGTGCTGCTCATTCGGTGTGTTTAGTGGATAAATGAAGGGCCTTATGCTCTTTGGGTGTCAGCTGCCTGCCTTCTTAAGTATTAAATTCAGCCTCTTGACACATACATGTGCGTGCATGTACGCACCGCAGCAATGCATTGCTTGCCAAAGGCTTCTCCTGAGAAGTCTAAACACCTTGGTCTTTGAACATGTACCGGTGCACATACGTGAATGATAAAGTATTGAAATGCCTGACAATGCTATAAGCTATTAGCTGGTGTAAGATTTCAAGGGCAGCCCGTGTTGGAGGCCATTTGAAAAGAGACGGTATCTCTGAAGTATCTCCAGGCGCATAGGCATTGACCTGTTGGTTGTAAATGCCTGCATGGGCGAGCTCAGGGCAATGAATTACAGCATCTGTCTTCTCCTGAAAGCCACCCACAGGTCCAATAAACCAAGGGGAAACTCTTCAGAATCAGTTTAAATATGCATTAAAGATGCCTTTTAAATAATAATAAAAAATTCCAAGCTTTAATTCTTCAAAATCCAGTTCACTGCTGTATCACAGACTGGAAGATCATGCATGTTAACTATCAGTTCTCACTTCAATGCCTGAATGTGTGCGATAGAGGTGCTGCATGAACATAGATGGCAGCTAGGAGAGGCTGTATGTCAAGTAATTATCATTCAAGTTCCCCCCCCAAATGTATGGTCAAGTTTGTTTACTCATTGTATCTATTATTATTACACTGTAATTGTATGTTTTTAGTATAAAAGTGCATTTGTTACTGTTTCATATGCCCTTTTAAACATCTGTTTTATATTTAGGAGTGTTGTATTATTGTGCTTTTCTGTTCTAAAATACAGAGATCGGCTCAGATCGTTAGCCATGCTGCTATTATGTGGTCAATGGTAATGTTTTGAGCTTCTGAAATCAATGAAATATGCATTACTGGTGTATGACAGCTGGTTTTTACTTTGTTTTTAGAATAATTTGTATTTAAGTAGGGTGTAAAATTAATAATTTTGGGCTGCAGAGCTATTGCCTAAATGTTGTGGCTTTCCCTCATACCCCTTTTTTTCTCTTTCAATGATCAAAGTGTTTAAATGGACATTTGTGAGATCTCATGGTTTCTTGATGAGGAAGTAGAACTAATAGCTGTTTGGTGAAAACGAATCCAGAAAAGCAGTGAGGCTGGATGAGCTTGGTGATGGTTCTGAAAGTATCAGGAATTTTGCCACTGGCTTCAGTGGTACTACACTGTCTCTCTGAATATTAAAGTGTTTTGTGTTTAACTACCAAAGTCAGGCAAGTTTTACTGACTTCTCCCCCTTGTAGGCAGAGGAGAATGGAATTGAACTATTAAAAATACAGATGCAACACTGTATCTAAACACTAACACTGTATCTAAAGTCAAAACAAAAGAAGCTAATGTTGATTGAAATGCTTTTGTGCTGAAGGCACAGGACCGTAAATCTGAATGCGTAGAATGGCTTTCTGTCTGCCTTAGAGTGTGGACAGGTAATCAGAAGTGTTTGAATTATTGTAAATTAATGAATTATCACTTCTCTTTTAAACCACAATAAATAACCGTACTTTTACAACTTGGGCACTGATTGAGGGTGGTAAGGGTATGGTAATTGTTCTTGTGGTCATGTGTTCACAGCAAGAGAGTCTGATCTTTGACAAGTTGTTCAGCATTTCTGTACAGCGTTAAACAAAGCAAGAATGCATGTTAATTAATGCTTGTACAGCAATGATCTAAGGGCCTCTGCCTTGCTACCTTAGACTAGAGGTGGCAACAGCAGTACCTCTAAAACCACAAGAAAGTACTGTATTTAAAATATCAAAATTATCATGGCGATTAAACTTCACTACAAACCCGGTCAGATTTATTCTTGGCAGTGGCGTTTCATCCCTAAGTTATCAGGAATGTATTTGCATCTTACCAGTCATTTGAAGGGATTCTCAAATTATATAGTAATGTGGATTGTTTTACGCTTTGCTTTTCAACAGGGCAGAAAAGCTCCAGTTGCTTAACCACAGGCCTGTGACAGCAGTTGAAATACAGCTGGTAAGTAACAATGCTCCTGACTGTTCAAAGCTTAAATGAAAGCAGCTTTAACCTTGAAGATCAATTGAATAATTACTTTCTCATGGTCACTGATTGAATTTATCCCTTTATGCACATCTTTACATTCATGGTTTCAAATCCACTCTGCTTCCTCTCTGAGACCTCCTTAGAGACTTGCCCATGCTTCTTTCGGACAGATTCTCCACCTCTTTTTGCTTCAGGGTCACATATTGAAAATGCCCAGTGCAGTCATTAAAGGTTAGTTACAGTATTGCGAGTAAGAATATATTTAACCTGAGTCTTTTTGCTGCTGCTGTGTAATCAAGTACTTCACTTTTTGACAGCTGTGATGACATGGGTGTTTTGATGGCAGAGTTTTATGTTATAGTGAAACTAAATATTCTAAAAAGGAATGAGTAATGACTGATAGGGAATTTTGAGCAATGGTGCAGAATGAGAAATGGATATAAACAGACTTTCTGATGTAAAGCAGCCATTATCAATCTGTTAAGCATAATTCTGATGTAAAGAGGGATTGTCGCTAAATAGAAATAGATGGTTATATTCTCTGAAGTATCTCCTTAGGAATACAAAATCCTGTGGTAATAAAGAGATTATTACAATAAGGATATTCTTTTAATAAAGATCTCTTACATTAAGAACATCTGTTTACAATCTTATCCTGAAACCAAACTATGTAGTAACGAGATCGTATTTTGCTGCAAAAAAGGGGAGGATTAAAGAGGTACCAGTAGGACTATTTTTCTTTTGTAGCCAAGGAGCAGACATTATAATGCTGAAGGCATCTCATAAAAGAATGTTTCTAGTTGCAGAATTAATACTGTGTTTTGTGATTGAAGATCAGCATCAGTCATCAACCCAACCAAGAGCATTAAGGCTTCATGAGTTTTGCTTAGGAAGTTAGTCATAAGCCGTGATGTAGAGCCTGTCTCATACCTTTGTTAGCTTCATGTGCTTAGGCACAGATCTATTATATTCCCATATAGGCCATATACTGTCTTTTTTTCCCTTTTCTTCTTGAAATGCAATAATCTTTTGCCGCTTTCAAGTGACTGGTTTTGTCTGTCTTCTCCCTCCTCCCCTCATTATCCTACCTTCTTCCTCATTATCTACCCATAAAATACTGAAAATAGTTTTGCTCCTGTGTCATGTTTGAAGGCCAGGAGGCAAGTATAAGAAATTTGGGCCTTTATATTAGAAGTCAGGTTTCTGTAGAGTGTTGTTCTTTAGATATTCCAAAGTTTGTAATGTCAAAGTTAGATAAAACTCATTGCTAAAACTTACAGAATGTAGATACAAGATTTGAGTTGAGTGTCAGCCCATTATTGATATGTAACCCTTCTCTAATATCAAAAGCAACTTGCGAAAAATGTAATATTCATACATTTGGGGAGTAGCCTGAATTTGTATCATCGTGGAAGTATTGGGGATGCAAGGACTTCTGTTCCATTGCGATACGCCTGCAATTCCCAGGGCAAGTTTCTCCAAAACACGTATTACAGTAAACTAGGTTGACTGGATTGTTAACACTGTTAAATTAAGCCTCCCCGAATTGCAGTGCACTTACTCTTTCATCAAAGCACATCAAAGTCTTTCGAGCTCAGTAACCGCTAGGAAACTGCAGGCCATTTTTGTTAGTGAAATACAGAGACTAGGAGCAATAGCAAGGAAATGATTTTGCTGTTCGATTGCTGTCTTGAATCATTTTGGTTTCTGGTGAGGACAGGGGAAGGAGATTGTAGCAGTGCAATGTCTTTGAACACAGAAAACCTCTGTCTTCTCTGAGCATCTCTGAATATAAAATAATGCAGAGCCGTGGAGGCTGCTAGCATTTTCTTCTTCGATGTCGGTAGAGAGAAGACTACCCATATGCAGATTTTGTGCAGGCAGGTCAATTCACTGTAGTCAATGGATGAGAGACAACCTACAGAGAAGTGAATATTAGGTCTAAAACTGCCTTGATTTTCTTTTCATTGAACTTGCCCCTGCCACTCAAAAGCTTTGAGTCATTCCTGGAGTTGAAATCAGAAATAAATGATGATTAAAAAAAACTTCTGACTGCTTCATATAATGTAGGCAAAGTCAGTCTTATTTTTAAAAAAGCCAGCTTTAAACAAATTGCCAAACGAGCCATATCTCTGTCTCTCACTTGTTCAAATGGTTTTGATGTCTCAAACTTTTACTCAGTGCTGCCTGTCCATGGAATGGAGTCAAATTTACCCGATAGGCTTTTAATAGCTGTTGTGAGAGGATAGTTATATTTACTACTGCTTGTTGCTTTTTTGCCTTTCCAGCTTTTTGGTTTTTTAATTTCCCTCTATAAAAATGCCTTTAGTTGTATGCGAACAATAAATCAATTTTGATAAAATTATATTTAAGCTAAAAAGCAAATTTTTCTTGTGATCTTTCGATCTCAAGTTCTTTTGTAAGTCTTTATACATAAATTGCTGTAATTGTTCATATTTGTCTGTTCTGGACTGTGTGCCAGGATTTATTTTCAAACAACAATAGCAACAAAAGGAGCATGAAATTCTAATTCATATCCCACAGGGTAAAACGTTGTACACATTGCAGCTATCTTGACCTCCTGTTTTAATCTTTAACATATGTTGTTCCTGGCTCAGTGATTCACAAAGGAGGAAAAAAAAAAGACAGTGATGTTGATCTAACCATGACAGTGGTCCAGCTTTACTTAATGCTGAACCATGATGGGTTTGAAGATTAAGCATCATCTTTTCTAATTAACAAATTGCTCCACATTCTTCTTTCTGAATGGAAAAGTAGATTTTCATTCCGTGCTTTTTAAAACTAGATTTCCATCTCAGAGAGCTTTGTACCTCGTGATATGTGCTCTGCATAACCAGCCTGGCAGATTGTCTTTTATTGTTGAATAGAAAATAATAATATAAAGTATTCTTCTGGAAAATGGATGATGTTAGAGGATTTAAATATTTTGTTTTCTTAACAATATATTTTGCGTTCCACTTGGCATACTTGGTTAATTATCTCTGAGGAACATTAATCCAATCATGCAGTCTTTTACTTTATTTCTTTTTTATGTGCTTTTTTTCTATTAGCATGTTGGTTCTGAGCAATTTCAAATTACTGCTCAAAGGAGGAAATAGCAGTCATTTTCTCATAAAATACGTACCTCCTACACTGGAGTTAAATTATGTGCTTGATAGCTTTGGAAGTGATCAGAACTGCTACTTCCTTTTTTACTGTAGTTTGCTGATTATTTTTAAAATAGAATTCTTAGCTTATTATTCAAAAAACCAACAGCTTTTAACCCACGGATTGTTCTGTTCTGTGATGCTGAGGTTTGTTACCCATTAAATATTACTTATCCTTGCGACAGTTTCTCAGTTCTTTCAGAATGTTTTAGGGTTCTTCAGTGTGGTTTTATTTATTCTTCAGCATTCGCAGTGTATTGTCACGTCTCAGGAGGCTAAATGAAATAAACATTAGCATTGAAGCTTAAAAGAAGCACAGTGAGGATGATGAAGTCTCTTATACTTTGCTTGTACTTGGGTAAGCAGAAAAGATAAGGTATGGTTATAATTAGGCAAAGCATGTTCCTAAAACATTTGTCCTGGTTTTACAGATTAAAAAAAAAAAAAATCTAGACAAGTATGCATGTATGTATATGTGTCTGTGTTCATATTTTGTGCTTACATGTGTATGTGGCACTATGAACATACAGATTTGCACATTTATGCTATGAATAAACACTTTAGTCTTTGCAATTATCTTGATAGTCAGGCTAGCTGTTATTTTCTGATTTGCCTTCTCAATAAACAAAATCTTTAAAAGCTTCTGAAAATTACTTTCTGCCATGAGAATTTATCAGCAGATTTTAATGTGGCTTACTGCTTAATGTAATTCTATTATTACATTCTGATTTGGTAATTATGGTTGTTTTGTTCCTCTGAGAAATTCATACATAGCGCTCAATTAAAAAAAGCTACTGTTAAAATGTGCAGCTGGGAAGGGCTGCATGGTAGTAAAATATTCCACATACGCATTTGTTTAATAAGCACAGCTCTGGTTCCCAGCAGCAGTTACATTACTGAGCAAGGCATCTGCCAGTGTTTAATTCTGCAGTTGATGAGCAATTTGTCTTTTCATTCTCTTGTAGCAAGATTCAGTGATGCATGTTTCATTTTGCTGTGTTAGAAAGCCCATGCATAGATCTATCTGGAGAGGCAGAACGGAACTGGCATCCTTTTCTTGACGTACTCTCCATTGAGTAAATGTTTGCTTAATTTTAAGCTTAAAAGTCCAGTTAAGTTAGTTGGACCTCTTGAGTACTTGAAATTAAGTCAATACATAAGCTGTGGCTTAACAGTTGTAGGTACAAGGTGCTTAAGCAGGTGAAAGATTGGTTATTAGACTTCTAAATAAAGGTAGGTAGCATCGCTCTCAAAGGTGAGCGGTACAGTGGCTTCAGCTGCCTTCTGAGCAATTTGTATGTATATTCCATAGTTCTGAAGATCTGGCTGTTTCTGTTAATACATTTATCAGTAAAGTAAGAAGCAACTCTAGGTACTCAGGCTTGAAAAGTATATACTAGCTGCAGGGGGAACATGCCTCTTTTTTTTTTTTTTTTTTAGCTGTAAGAATTTTATGCTAATTAAGATATCAAATAAAGTTTTCCTGCTTCCTTCCTTGATTTCTTCTTTGGTCATCTTGTAGATTATATTGTTTAGAGCGTTGGCTGAGGGGGGAAATGAAATGTGAAAATTGCTTACTGTATGGATATATTGCAATGAGAGCTTAATAACTAACTGTTACTAGTTTGAGTGAAATAGAAGTTATTATTGAGGCCTGACTTGACTGAGTTGATCTTGACCACGTAGTTGCATTTCATAGAAAATACATACTGTGTATATGTATGAATGACATTGATATGCTATAACACTTGCTACAAAAACACTGTAGTTATTTTGGGATAGTATAGACTTGAATGTTGAAAAGCAGTAACGACTTGGGAAATATTTATTACAAGAAGCAGCATAGCTGACATGACTTACTGCTTTTCTCTATGTTCATTTCAAGAAAAGCCTTGCTCTCAGCCCTGAGAAGTAGACATGCTTGTCTTGCTGCACATCAGGGTGCTTTTTATCTATAAATTGTGTTACTCTAACACTGTCCAGTTCTGTTACTTGCGCAAACCCCTGAATATTGAAAACACACAGTTCAGCGGAGCTTTGGTTGATGATACCCTACACTTTGCACATGGCATCATGTCAGGATAATCTACTTCCATTTGGTGTGTGTGGCACTGCCAACATAAACATCTTATGTCATATGCTTATTAAAAACATTTGCATTTTTGTTTTCCTTAGTATAAACTTTGCATTCCTGACTGCTTATGCTTTAAGTCTGTTGCTTGAGCAGTTTCAGCCAATTGCAAGCTAGACGTTAGCAAGGCTTTTTGATAGATTTTTTTTTTTTATATATTGGTAAAATCCTTGCTGGAAAAGTAGGTACTTGAATACAATTGTTTCTTTTTGCCTCTTAGGCTTTTTCTTACGCGTAATTTCTCTTCTGAGCATCATAAAATTATTTCCTGGTACGATTAGTAGCAAAGGTATTTGTCTGAATAGTTGTAAATCAGAAGACTGTGCGAACATCTGTTGAATCCAGAATAAGCCTCTGAGTG